ATATGATATAGGGACCCCTGGGTGGCTCGGCAGTTGAGCATCTGTCTTAGGCTCAGGGCATGATTCCAGGATACGGGATCGAGTCTGGCATCTGGCTCCTTGAAGGAGACTTGAGGGACTTCTCCCTCTGCCTATGTCTCTGCCTCTCGCTGTGTGTCTCTTATGAATAAATAGATAAAATATTTTTAAAAAGAAGATATGATTTAGATATATATAATGTGTGTATAGATATATATAGATTATAGATGTATATAGATACATAGATATATACATGTATATCTATCTATATACACACACACATACAAATGGAGTATTACTCAGTCAGAAAAAATGAAACCTTGCTATTAGCAACAGCATGGATGGACCTATATAAGATATAATGCTAAGTGAAATAAATCAATTGGAGAAAAATGAATAGCATATGATTTCACTCATATGTGGAATTTAAAAAACAAAGCAAGCAAACAAAGAAAAAAAGAGACAAAAAAACAGACTTTTAAATATCAAGGATAAACTGGTGCTTGCCAGAGTGGAGGCAGTTGAGGGAAGGATGAAATAAGGAAAGGGATTAAGAGCACACTTATTGTGATGAACACGTAATATATAGAATTATTGAATCATTATATTGTATACCTGAAACTAATATAACACTATGTTAATTATACTTGAATTTAAAAAATAAAAATTTTAAAAACAATAGCATATTTTAGAGGTAAAATAAATAGCATAAGTAAAGGTAGCATGGGAGGGAATAAGTCTGCACCAGAGCTGGCCTGATATTGTGCAATCCCCTTTTACAATACCAATTTCTTGGTAAAGAATGATTCTAGAGCTGCTGCAGTGACTTTCGTGGCTTTCAGGGTCACTTGGTTTAGCTGTGGAATGAACTCAGCTGGCTGCAAAATGTCTCAGGGGCAATGTTGGAATGAATCTCCTTTGTTTCCAGAAGTCGATCAGGTTCTCAAGGCAAAGTTATTTATGCTTGTGAGTCAAGCCAAAGCAGCATGGTGGTGGAATGTGTAGTGGGAGCCTGGCCACTTTCATACTCATTAATAGCACAGGTGCTTAACCATCTCCAGCAAAATCTGGCAAAGTATGCATTTAGTCCTCCTGTTGTAGCTATTTAATAGATTTGTTAATGAAGACCTATTTATTTTTAAAGGAAATTAGTGATTTTTAATGAGAGGTTTCCCCACAGGAGTTTTTCTTGAATAGGAAAAGGAAAGAACTATTGACTCCGTGCCTTCTACATGCAAAGAATATTTGAGATCCCAAACCATCCTGGCATTTAGTATCATTACTATATCCACTTTACAGGTAGGGAAGCTGGCACTCGGAGAAGTGATTTCTTAGAGGCTAGTGTGCTAAGATTCAAATCTTGTATGGCCTGACTCCAAAGCTTCTTTCCACTTAATCTCCATCACACCTGCTGCTTACAGGAAACACATGTGGGCATGGGCGCATGCATGCACTTAACACACATACAGAGAATTTTAGATAAAGCAATTGTGCATTTCTCAGAAATACTCTTTTTATAACCTTAGCATTGAATAAAAGGAAAGAATATTTTGAAACATCTATCTAGATAATCGAATATATTCAGAGAGAAGTGCCTAAGAATTTGGAGCAAAATGCTCTAGTCTTCCACCCAGTGGAAGGTCAGGACAAAACAAGATGAAGACAACATATATATGTACAACACAGAATTGCCTACTGGTAAGATTTAAGGAATCTTAAAGCAGGGTTCCACCTGCTTTCAAGTCTTTTTCACTCTTACTTGTTAAGGTATATAAGTTCATGTCTTTAAAAATGTCACAGGGTAAACACATTCTTCCCAGGAGGGCTATGTTAAAGTGTACAGACTTTATATCAGAGTTCTTTCAAAAAGGATGCCAGACATGTGTATTTGATTCAAGTTTGTAGAATGTGAGAGATTGAAGTTCTTTTTTTTTTTAGATTTTATTTATTTATTCATGAGACACACACACACACACAGAGAGAGAGAGAGAGAGGCAGAGACACAGGCAGAGCGAGAAGCAGGCTCCATGCAGGGAGCCCGATGTGGGACTCGATCCTGGGTCTCCAGGATCATGCCCTGGGCCAAAGACAGGTGCTAAACTGCTGAGCCACCCACAGATCCCCTCAACAAACATTGATTTAATTATTAAATATATTTCATGGGACGCCTAGGTAGCTTAGTGGTTGGGCGTCTGCCTTCCGCTCAGGGAGTGATCTCGGGTCTGCGGATGGAGTCACGCATTGGACTCCTTGTGAGGAGCCTGCTTCTCCCTCTGCCTATGTCTCTGCTTCTCTCTGTGTGTCTCTCATGAATAAATAAATAAAATCTTTAAAAAAATAAAAAATAAATATATTTCAGAGGCTAGGCACTGTTGAATCTAAGTACATAACCCCAAAGTTCCTAAAGACCCAGGTAAGAGGATAAAACTGATAAGATTTTAGAATCTGTAGGATTGCAAATCAATGTAAAGCAATGATTGTAAAATCATTGATGCCACTAATATTTCTCTGTACTTCATTCTCAGTGTCAGAACACGGGAGTTTCACATTCTGAGATATTTTGCTCTAGCTCTGGTAGATTGGCATGGTAGAGATTTAAATCATACTTCCTTTTTCAAATGCTGTAAAACACTGTCTCAAAATAAATACTAGTCCAAAAGCAATGGGGGGAAATGTGTGTATCTGAGACTTATTATAGCCAAATACAGGGGTAACCTTTCAATATTTGGAGAAGGAGCCACTAAAGTCCATACCACCTACTGGCATCCTAGCCCTTAAAAAGGAGGATGTCCTGGCCCTGACCATCTCTTTCTTTCTGTATGTTTCTCCAAACCTAACAAATGCAGATTTCTGCACTTGTTCTTGAATAGAAGAATGTTTGGAAGTTTTGTAAAAGTTATACATGCTTGTATGAGTATGACTATAGTATAGAATTGTAGTCAACAATTGGTAGCTAAGGGGATCCCTGGGTGGTGCAGCAGTTTGGCGCCTGCCTTTGGCCCAGAGCGCGATCCTGGAGACCCGGGATCGCATCCCACGTCGGGCTCCCGGTGCATGGAGCCTGCTTCTCCCTCTGCCTGTGTCTCTGCCTCTCTCTGTCTCTCTCTGTGACTATCATAAATAAATTTTAAAAAAATAAAAAAAAACAATTAGTAGCCAAGAGTTTTTGTTTTATATATAAAAGCGACTGCTTTTTAGTTTTTATTATTTTTTAAAGATTTATATATTTATTTGAAACAGAGAAAGGGGGAGGGGCAGAAGGAGAGGGAAAGAGAGAATTCCAAGCAGACTTCCTACCCCACTGAGCACAGAGCCTGACACAGGGCTGGATCTCACACGCTGAGATCATGACCTGAGCCAAAATCAAGAGTCAGACACAAGTGACTGAGCCACCCAAGCACCCCCAAAGTGACCACTTTTTAAATAAGTGTGTATATTCAGTAGCTGAAGGAATGGTAAACACTATGAATTTCTCATTTATAAAATAGATTGGGACAACTGACCCAATGTGACTCAAGGTCAGAAAACCTATAATAGGGATAAAGAAGTACATATGATGTTAATCCTATGGATCTTTCTTTCTTTTTTTAAGATTTTATTTATTCATAGAGACACACACACATACAGAGAGAGAGAGAGAGAGAGAGAGAGAGAGAGAGAGGCAGAGACACAGGCAGAGGGAGAAGCAGGCTCCATGCAGGAAGCCTGATGTGGGACTTGATCCCAAGTCTCCAGGTGATCACACCCCAGGCTGCAGGTGGCGCTAAACCGCTGCACCACTGGGGCTGCTCCTATGGATATTTCTTGATGAATAAAAGTCTGAGGGCTGTAGGTCTAGATTTACAGTAACCATTCTATAATATCAGCACACAGGCTACATTACACACTACAGTAACAAATCCATCCTGAAACCTCAGGGACTTAACACAACCAAGGTTTGTTTGGGCTTTTTTCTCCTCACTCATGCTCCATGTTCAATCTAAGTTGATGGGGCACTCCATTCTCTCTAGTCACTCCGACATAAGGATAACATGATACAAGAGGTAGTTTAGAAATATCAAGCAGGACCAAGGAAAAGAAAGAGAGAGAGAGAGAGAGAGAGATCAAAATTGGAGTAGTTAATCCAAAAACATTAAGTATTAATTATATCTTTTTAAAAAGTTTAGCTGAGAAGAGTTTAGAATATTATAAAAGAGTAATGGAAGGGAGGGTCGATAATCAAAGCATGTAGCCTTGGGTGTCATATAAACACTGCCCCAGTAGGGACGGAATGGGCCCTATAAATACCTGGTTTGCTGGCCCGTACAGACCTGCTGGGCCTCAGCTCTCCCAAAAGGCAGAAAGAGCCTGTGGATGGAAATGACTGCAAGGTAGCTAGACTGGTACTAGCCAGAGTGGGCATTCCCTTGGATTGAGTAGACACTGGCCCTGGAAGATGAGTTTGTGTTCGCTATGATTCAGCGAGGGTGGATTGATCCGGGGAGCTGCCCTTACATCACTGGATTGCTTTCCACACAGCTCACAGCCTCTCACCCTTCCTTTCCCCTGTCCCAATGATTTGTTCTCTCTAATTGTACATCCCCCCATCCTTTGTCGAGGGCTTTGATAAATGTGGACACTTCCTCTTTATTTTCTTCACGTTCTGTGCCTCTCATGAGTCATTTCTGAAGGCACTGAATCATTTTCATCACTGCTCAGCCTCCTCCTGTTTGAAGTCCTTGTCTGGATATATGCTTATTCATCACCACTCTCTCTGCGACCCACATGTGTCCGGCACACTGTTTACATTGGGCTTTAATCTGTTGTTAGTGGCCAACTCCAGTGTCCCCCTCCTTCCTCAAGGGGCCCATCCCTGTTCCTCCCGCCCGCACTGCTCCCAGTGGGAGAGCATGGAGAGCAAGAGCTCTGGCCCTTAACCTTGGCATATGGACTCTTGCCCAGAACTCCATTCCAGACCTTCCTCTTTTGCTTGTCCTTTATAGCAGCTTCTTCCCCAGCATCATCTACACAGCAGAAGAGGCAGAAATGGGGTCCCCTCCCAGGCTAGCTCACAGACCATCCTGGGACAGTGCACCATGATGAGGCTCACATGTTCTCAGTCCCCACCTGCCCTCTAACACCCATTTCCCTCCTGCTACAAATGCCAGTGTTTTTTGTTTTGTTTTATTATGTTTTGTTTAAATACACTTCAAAGTGCAAATTCTCTAGTTCCCACTGGTCAATGGAATGCACTGTTTTATGATCCCAAACACTGGGATTTTGAACGAACACATTGATATTTAGTCATTGGTAATAGATCTTGACATTTCAACAGGCCACAATGGGTTATCGTCCGTTCTGCATTTTCCTCCCCCAGCCCAGTTGCTCTGGAATTGATTTATGAAACTAGTTTGCTTTTTACTTATTTTATTCCTCATTATTCATATTTAATGTTACCCACACTTGACCTTGTGACTCTAATTCCTTAAACTGAATAATGTACACACATTGACTTTGTTCTTCTTGACAGGTCTTATCATTTTTTATCTTTGCCATCCCTCTTTCAGCCTTTTAAAGATCTTGGACTCTCTGAATCTCTTATCTGTTTACATTCTTCTTCATTATTTAGTATTAATGTTCTTCTTTCAGCCGTTATTCCCTAGGTTGTTATTTTCCTCATTTCCTGATTTGATTCTTTCTGTCACAGAGCCAGATATCTCACTACCATGTTTTAGAGGTTGACTATCACTTCACCAGTGAAACCATTCAGATGTTTCCAGGAACAACCACGTCCTCAGGAATTCAGCAACATCTTAATCGGTTCTTGCCCAAGACTTTTAATGTCTTTCAGAAACAGCAGTTATGAAGTGCTGCTACAAGTGTGTGTCTAATCAGAGCAGGAAGATCACTTGGTAGTTAAAACATATATAAATTTTGCCTCTGAATAATTCTTAGACCATGAGTACACCATAGACCATTTAATTGACCATTATTTGTTCTGCAGTGTTCCATAGGAAGAGTATGCCATAATTTGAGAATATTTTTCACACAGATATGAACTGGCAATTAACCATTAATGCCCACCCAATGATCTAGATATGTGTGATATTCCTTTTCTTACCTTCTTGTGAAGGGCGGTAATGATGGTAACAGCAAATCAAGTAAAACACTGAGAGTACTACACATTTTTTTTTTACATAGCTGGTTTGATTAACTCAGTTACTTAGATTCTATTTTTTTGTTAAAGCCAAATATGAGCCAGTTAGTTTCATATGATCCTCCGACAGGGAGGAGAGTTACAAATGTCCCCCAACTGCACATTATAAAGGACATCAAGGCAAACCCCTACATTTTCCTAAACCAGTCCATTACTTGACTAGAAAAATGATGTTAAACTTTTGAGATATAGGAAGCAAATTAGGTACACGCTTTTGAGGTAAAAGGATACTTTTGTTATTCGTATAATGTCACGATTATTTTTTATCATAATAAGTCACATGTTAGGTTCAGTGTAGACTGCTCAGAGACATTTAGTTCTCATTCTAGCTTAAAGTTTTATTAACACTAGTATGTAGACTAATATTGTGTTTTTATTGGCTGATAAAACACCACTGTGGTAAAGAAAATAATAATAGAATCATCTAGGAAGTAGTGATTTGTGCATAGAAAGGAGGGACTCTTCAGTGCTTTTTTGGTATTGAACAGCTGTCATGTGTGTTAGACTTGACAGTACTGTTTTCTGTCCCAGAGTCTCTAAAAGGCATTCTTGTCACAAAAGTGAGGATGGTATCAGTAAGCAATCTGTTTGTATGGTCCTCAGTTTTGTTTCCTTCATCTCTTTGTCCCTTTAACAATAAAAGATAAGGAATGAATAAATGGGCATAAAAATTTCAATGCATACCAAAATTTTTGAAAACGATTTTATTTTTGAACTGTTACCTACATTCCGCTGTAAATCACAATGATTGACCAGAGCCATTTGTATCACGAAGCAGCTCAGCTCTTTCAAGTTACAAATACACATTAATCATGCACAGCAAGAGCCCTACTGCCTAGAAAGGCTATGACCTACTGTGTAGTTAGAGTTAAGGTAAGTTACTGCAAAAAATAAACTCTAAGTGGAATGAATCAAACACTATAGAAGTTAATTTCTTTTCTATATTACAGTCCTCGGAATAGATAGGGAGGTACCTCTTTTCCTCCAGGTCTTCCAACGATTCAGGTCTCTTCTATTTTGTTAATTTGCAGATTCCTAGGATTTTACCCTGTCCCTATGGTTGAGTTAGGTCAGTTCTCCAAACCTAGCCTGTAGGAAGAGGAAAAAGAAGCAAGGAGGACCAGCAACTTTCTTTCTAAGGACATGACTTAGAAGTTACATACACCACTTGTGCTCTCATTTCCATGGCAATTACTTCGTCACCTGGCCACAGCTGGCTGGAAGGGGAACCTGGAAGAGTTCTCTGGTTGAGTGGCTACAAGCCCCACTAGAATTGTGTGTGAGTGTTCTTTATCTCACAGGATTAAAAAGATAGTGGATCCTGAAGGATGATGAGTGGTTTCCGCTGCATTTGTTTTTGAGAGAATGCTGCTATCCTGTATGTACATGTTCAGAGAAATATGAGTATGTGTGACATGTGCATGTTCTTGTGTGCTCAATTTTCCAAACATTCACTAATAGCAGGTATTTCCTCAATACATTTGATAAAGGACAAATTGAACATGAAAAAGAATGTCATGGGATCTATTTAGGGTCGTCAAGTAATTGTAGAAGAGTGTCTTGGTATCCTGAAGCCTATTCTACTTAGTAAGTCAGGTCTTCCACTATCCTATTATGTGTTAAAAATCCTAGTCTTGGAATTTTACTTAGGTCTTCACCACCTCACCTCTTCCCGGCCCCCACTTTAAGTTGTTGAAATACTCTTTAGATCAACTTTTTCTGTTTTTATTTTATTTCCTGTTGAAAATTAGGGTGATTCATTCCACCGATTTTAGTAAAGAAAACAGACAAAAGCAATGAAGTTTCAGGGTTTATTGCCATTAACTGGAACCTGCTTTAAATGCTGTGTTTTATTGAATCCTTTCACCACCCTTTGAGAAAGGTATCCTCGTACAGATGAGGGAGTTCAGACTCAGCATGTTAAGTCACCTGCCAATGTTGCCTTGCTGCTGTGCCTGACATTTCAGCCCCAGCTCTAAATTACAGTGTTGTGCTCCTACAAGAGCATTAAGTCCATTATTCAAGTACCTGAGACATAAAGCTAAATTCTACTCATAGGGATGTATCAATGCAATTTGGGCAACACATAATCTCTAATATTCAGAATGGGCTGGATTCAACACTTTTGAAACCACCATAGCATAGTTTGAAAAAGATGTCAAAACAGACTTGTGCTTCTCTCAGTTTTTGTTTACTCTTCAAAAATCATACTACCCTTCAGTGTAATACTAAAATTAGCAAGCTAGAACATTCATTTTTAACAGTTTCATAAAAATGGAAGGACTTTTGATCCTTTCTCTATTGCCAAGTGCAGAGGCACCATCCAGCCTGTTTTTTTTTTTAAACTGGAAAATGACTATAAAAATACAGCCCTCCATCTCTCAGCAGTGATAGATAAGAAGTACTGAAACAGCATTAATAATTAATGGGCAGACAAGATGAAACTCCAGTTGCTCAGACTGCTGTCTCCACATAATCTGTATTTTATACAAAAGGAGAAAGAACTCAATGGAATTTTAGCTGTGACCGGATAAAAACTGCCAACAAAATGTGATAAGGAAAGTCTAATGTGTATATTAATCATGTTTATAGCTCCTCATTTGTTGATATATTAGCCTAAACTCCCTTTAAAAATACATTTTTGATCACCAGGACATTCATTTAATGCAACCAAACCTCAAATAGGGTCCAATTAAAGTTTCCAATTTTTATTAATCAAAAATAATTAATCTAGCCCATAAATCATGAAATAAATGGGTTAAGAACTTTAGTGCAAGATGAGAAGCATTAAGCAAAAAAATCTAGAAAAGTTTGATGCATGATGTAAATATTCCATTATATGTTTATAGCTTGAGTTAACATTTGGCACTTTTATTATCCAAATTGTTTTTCTAGATACAATGAATGTATAATGTGACTCAAAGTGAGACACAGTTTACCCTTGAATGGTGTAGGCTTCAAACGTGATGCATTTTTATTTGTTCTGGATCAGTTATAACAAAACAGATTACAGCGTTGGGGTGGAGCATGTAGTGTTTCTGGAAATATTTGCATTTTTAATAGTTAAAAAGTCTAAGAAAGTAAGACCTAGTTCACTCTAGAAGAGAAGGAGTTGCCATGTACAACTTGGTAAATTTTTTGACATTGAAAAATATATAGCAAAACTAAAACTTTGGGGAAATTTGTTTAATTATACATGTTTAATAACCCTTGAAGTTTACATCTAACTATAGTCATATCCCAAACTTGTCACAAACATCAAGATTTAATGGTGGATGGTGGATGATGGATGAGAGAGGGCAGGGAAAGATATATTAAATCTAGGAATGTGTCATTTAGCCACACTATCAAGGCTGTTGAAGGGGCTGACAACTTTCCCAGGTACACCGAGATGTATGCCCACTGTTTGGAATAGTTTATTACAGATGTATTTAAACATAGAATCTTGAAATTTAGCCATCAGTCTAAATACTTTTTTGGCAGTCATGGTGGTGACTAAGTCTTGGTACTAGAAGAAATTTAAGAATAAGCCCTTTAAAAAAAAAAAGAAAGAAAGAAAGAATAAGCCCTAGAGAAGTTAAGTGTGGAAAGTACAGGAGGAAAAAAGTCCTAGAAAGAAAAGAAGACCAAAGGTACAAGGAAAACAACTCTTAAGAGCCACAGGTTTTATTTGCTATAAGAAATATAGTCATATCAATAGAATATGTTAACTCATGCAATCAGGACATGGCTTAGGAGCAATTTAGTTCATGTCTTATAAAGCCCGAACAAAACTGCATGGACGAAAGTAACTTCTCAGCTACCAATTTGCCCCTAGCCATGGCTCACTGTATGTCATAACCTAGGCCTCTGGACTCTACATAGTGTGGGAGAGAGACACAGG